TAAAAAGTAAAAACTAAATAGAAAAAATTAAAGAGTGGAAACTTCTAACAATGCATAAATAATCCCAATTAGGCTTGACAATCAGGTCAGTGGATTGACCCATGACCCAACCCAGTTTTTTCGGGTTGGTCAGGTCGGGTCATTTCCGCATTCAGATAGCTAGATATGAGACCCTAACCCCCTGTTTTCGGGTCGGATCGGGTTGCATGTTGGGCCAACTTTTTGCCAAGTCTAATTGGAATCAATTGAAATGGGGTTCTCATTCCCAATGGAGGGGGAGGGGCTGGCCATTCCCTCAAATGGGAAAATGTATTATACCAGGAATGGGAAACGGACTCCAATTCCACCCAATCAAATGGTTGATCCATTTTGGTTCTAATTCCAAACCCCTATTCGTTCAAACCGAAGGGACTAGCTTTGTTGCAAATCAAACAAAATAAGCCTCCTGCAATCATTAGCAAAATACTTGCAAACTTCACTGGTTCTTTGGTGACTGCAAGATTGATAAAAAGGTTGAATAATTTGAAGCAGAGAAAAATAGTAATTGTTCCTTATTTCTTTTTAACCATAAACATAAACATGGGCGTGAATTGGTGAATGTGTTCTCCCTAAACATGCTCTCAACCACTGTTTTCAAAATTAGACCGGACTGGACGGTCGGATCGAAAAAACCAGGAACCGCTCACCTGACCAGTTTCGTTTTCTTTCAAAACTGCTTTTTCCCCCAAAACCGTTGATTTTGGTCAGCAAACCGCTGAACCGGCCGGTTAACTATTCGAACCGTTCGAACGGTTTTGACCGTTTTCCATTTTTTTTTAATTTTTTTTGTTAAAATGGGCTGACCATTCAGGTCAAACGGTCGAACTGTTCGAACCGATAACCGGACCCCTGATCGGTTCAATCACCGGTTCGTTTTTAAAAACCATGCTCTGGCCAAAGTTAACTCATTTAAAATTTAGTTGTGAATTAAATCATAATTAGTGGTTTGTTTTCAAGTTAAAAAAATTGGAAAAAAAGGCAGCATTGTACCATTTGTCTCCCTCACTACCTTCTCCTTCAACATAGCATGCCAAGTGATCAAAACTAAGTTCAACCAAATACAGTTCTCAACAGCCTAAATTCAAATGGGTGAAGTAGGCATTTTATTTTTTATTTTTATGTGATAAATATGGTTGAACAAGTGTCAAATTAGAGTTCGTTAAATAGATAGAGCATTAGCTAGGGATGCAAATGAATAGGATTGATTTCGGATGGGGTATATCCGAATTCGCACCAATAATGTAAATCATATATCAAGGCTGTGTTTGGTCGCAATATAAATAAATTTGCACTGATGCAAAATTATGATAGTGCAAACGATTTGAGTGTAAATTTTGGTTTATTTTTGTTTTAACTTTTAACTTATTTTGTTTGATTATAAAACTTGATGAGGGTAGATTTGGCCCTCCAGTGAAATTGCGACACGTGGCACCTCGTGACAACTAGGCAAACATCCAAGCAACAACTTACCAAGTTGGTGTCCCCCCCGGGCACCGGTCTGGCTGGCCTGGCGCGACCTGCACGCGGCCTGGCGCGGCCTGC